TTACTAAGAAAACTTAGTAATAACTGCCATCACAGCTTCAGCTTTACTAAGAAAATATAATAATAACCGCTATCTCAGCTTCGTATTAATTTTATTAGTAAAAAATGTTTCTAAAGCTGCGGATGCATTTTTTTATTAAGTTTTTTAATAAAAAATGTTTCCAAAGTTGTTAAGGTATTTTTTACTATGTATTCTTAGTAAAAAATATCTTTAAAGCTACAAAGATATTTTTTACTATGTTTTCTTAGTAAAATAACATCTTTGAATAAAGATGGGAACTGTAATTAATATGTTGCAACTTTTAATATTGTAACTTACGTTGCAATTAGTTTTAACCTATATATGTTGCAACTAATTTTAGCTTATGTTATAACATTTTGTAAATTTGAAATCAATTGCTGTACCATCTTTATCTCTGAAGCTGTAAAGACGTTTTTTTCTATAGTTTTCTTAGTAATAAAGGCATTTCTGAAGCTGCGAAGGTAATTTTTTCTATAGTTTTCTTAGTAAAAAAGGCATTTCTGAAGCTGCAGAGATGCATTTTACTATAGTCTTCTTAATAAGAGCTACTCTTGAAGCTTTGAAGATAGCTTTACTATTGATTCAAATCAAATCAAATATTTGAATATCTGATTTGAATTTGATTGAATCGAATTAAACATTAATTTGGATTTGATCAAATAAATAGTGCTAATTGAATAATTTTGTTTTTGACTAGATTTCCGTCATTCTTTGATTTGAATTTATTTTCAAATCAAATATTCAAATATCAAATCAAATGGCAAAACCCTAAAAATCATGTTATAAAACTATATAAATCATGTGATTAAAACCTAATTTTCATATGTAACAATCCATATGTACTTCACAAGTTTTAATAAGAATTAAGAACACATTTATTTGTATAACACATGTCTATATACATTAGCTATATGACTTTTATATAATAATGCAAATATATTTCTATTATTTTTATTATAATAATTTTTAGAAACTTGTTTAAAGACTAATTTAGAATAGGCAAATTATATGAGAAAAAATTATGTGTAAATAAATTATATATCAATAAAGTAATGTTTATATTTAAATATTTTTTAGCTAAATTAGTTAAATAATCGTGAATTCTGTATTATCTCTCAATCTTAATGCAATACCTTTTAGCTGATTAAGATAGTTTATAAATGGTAATAAGTTATGTTATTTTGCAAACAGAGATGAGATAAATATTTTGCTTATGATGTTTATTTTAGTGAATTTTGAGGATTGATAAAAAGTTGGTAAAAATATTTCTTACTTAATAGGTAAAATATAAAATTGCTTAAAATTTGAGTACTAAGCATAGTATTTTTGCTATAGTTAAAAAGTACTTTACATAAATTTTATAGTTAGCTGTATAATTATCATATAATAGGAATGCCAATTTATCCTTCTCTGAGTGTGAAGTAGATTGGAATAAAAGCTTCAATTGAAGATATTTCAGTTTATTCTCTTCTTGTAATATATATTATTTATATTATCAGATGATAAATTTCCTATCATCAATAAATTGAAGAATTTTTTTTCTTCCTATATATTCATTTGAAATAGTATTTCTAATAATACAGAGGGTCGCTAAAAGTTTCTGAATACTTTTCGGCTTAATATAAAACTTAAAAAATTTTATAATTACACTTAAAAAAAATTTATATATTTATTAAAATGGGTTTGATCTACATTTTGTACTAATTAATTAGTACTTAGTCAGGCCTTCATTGGCTTTAATTACAGCCTGAATTCATTGTGACTAAGGTTGCTTGTCTAAACTCATTTTGGATTTGGCAAAACAGTAAAACCTTTAGTTTCACTAAATTTTTACTAAGTGTTTGATATAGTTTCGCCATTTTTATAAGCTTTGATATAGTTTTACCTTTTTCCAAATTTTGCAAATTTTTTAATAAAGTTTTAATATAATTTAACCAAGTTTTACTTTTACCATTTAGACGTCTATCTAAACTCTTAATTTCGTCCAGCAACCTTAATTGTGACCAAATTTTCAATAGTATGCAAGAGAATTTCTCATCATATTTTCTTAACATATCGTTACAGTTCTGCTATACTGGAAGGCATTTTTTTCCTTCCTCGAATGCTTTTCTTGATTTCAGCCCAAAGATTCTTAATTGGATTGAGATCTAGACTTTGAGCAGGTTATCAAAGAACATGTAAATCATTTTCCTCATGAAACTTCTTCGCAAGTTTCATTTTGTGAAGACGCGTATTATCCTCCTGAAATATACTATCACCATTTGAAAATGTATGTCTCATAGTTCACATAATATGTTTACGAAGAATAACGATGTGTGATGCCTCAGTTGCTGTTTTATACAATGGAATAATGGGTCCTAAGCCTTGCCTTGAAAAATGCTTCTAAAACATTCAACTTGGACTATGTTTTACTGTGACAGAAACACAAGAAAGATTCCATTCATCTTGAGGTTTTTGCTACACTCTATTATAATGAGTTTGTTGGAATTAAGAAAGGTTAATTCATCACTCTATATAATTTTTGCCTAATCGTTCTTTGTTCAGTATTGATATTTCAAATACATATAAGACGTGTCTCCTTATTTGTTAGTGAGATTAGAGGCTTTCATTAAGCACACGATTATTTAAACCAATGGAACAGAACTTTCAGCCAATAGTGTGAGGTGAAATAACTTGGCCAGCCTTTTTCATTTAAAGTTAGGAAAGTTCTGGTGTGCATAGGTGATGATTTTTTCCTTCATCATTGATTACAAGTCGCTTAAGCCGATTATGTTGTGAAGCTTCAATAAGTGGTGGTCGACCAGAATGAGGCTTCGAATTTGTGATTCTGGTTTTATCTATTCTTTTTAAAGTGTTAAATACTATTGTCACTTCACAACTGACGGTCAAGGTAATAGTTCGATAACTATCATCATATTGGTGACAAAAAAATATAGCACTTCTTTGTTCATTAGTTAATTCTTAGAACATTTTCGTTATTTTCGAAAGATAAAGTTTATTTGATTTAAAGTCAAAATAAACAAACTAAACACACATTTATTAAGTTTAATTCATGTAAACAAGACCCAAAACATCATGTGTCCATAGTGTTATTGTGTCACTAGCATAAAATCGCACCTAAAAAATGGTGTTCAGAAACTTTTAGCGGCCCTCTGTACATCTTATCAAGTGGCAATTTTGATTGTAAAAAATATCTATAAATCTTTGAGATATGAATACTAAGGAGTCACATAACGCTACAATATATATAATTTGTTTCAATTATGTTAGGATGAGACTCTTTATTACTTTCATATAACTTTTTACACATACTAATATATCTATTCTAAGAAAAAATTCTTGGGTTTTCTTCAAGTATTTTCCTAAATGGATCACAAATATGAGAGCACCACATTTCTGGAGTTTCATGATCATATATAATGTATCTTTTAAAAGAGATAATGCATCTGTTATTCTTCTATATTCTACAAAGTTTACATTACTAAGTCCAGCTAAACAAAGCTTAGAATAGGCTTTACTATCTAAATTCATCTTTTAACGATTATTAGCGATTTTAGCTATTTTATCGATTATAGTGATTTATATCAGTTTATAACAAGTATATTATAATAAAATATTCGATTCATTTTTATTCGAAACTGACGAAGGCGCTGTATAATATATGCACATGCATGTAGATATGTAGATTGAACAATCTAAATTATTTTTGATGTACAGTATAATAAAAAATTCGTATCACATGAGATCTCAGATTATTTATTGATCTAATCCCCATAAATTTGCAAAATATGACGGCTTTAATTGTCGTACTGCGCATTTCAGGTGATCAGTTTCTTATTTCTTGCGACTAATAAATATTTCTATTTATGCTAAGGACTATCAAGCTTCACGTCAACATCATGATCATATTACCTGAACTCCTTCTTTAAGAGCTTTTATAATCGTTCGGAATTAATGGGACAAAACTTCAGTTGCCATCGTTCGTGTCATAATCCAATGATTTCTAGATTGTTCTAACTTATCTTCAAATTCTTCTGTAAAATATAAAAACAAACCATTATAAATAACAATTTTACGGTATCCCAGTTATACGATCCTTAATCGCTTACCAAGCTCATTTTTTAACTTAATCGTATATTTTTGCAGGGCCACCCTTCATTCCAAAACTACGAAATTCTTCCATTGTAAAATCGAGGAAATCGCCTCCCCCGATTCTTTATTTTTCTAATATGTCAAAATCTTCTTGTATTAGATGCAATTCTTCTATTGCTTCTTTCACTTTTTAAGAATTCGAGAAGTTTTTCTGTATTATAACCTTGAAAGTCAGTCAAAGTAATAGCGGTCATTTTTTTTTAGCGGAAGGTGCAGAATTTTCCTCATGTAATACAAAATTTTATAATATATTAGATTATAAAATTTTGTATTACATGAGATCTCCCTAGCTCCGTAATTAAAATTAATTCTAAAAAAATAAAAAAACCGATCATTCCGCAATTAACCGATATATGATTGGCCAAATTTAGGTCAAAAATTACGCAACTTAAATTTCTTTCATATAAAAATCTAAATGGTCTAAATTGAACGCAAATCAAAACCTTACACTGCCTAACTCTACCTAACTCTACTATGATTCAGCTTTCAAATATATACCCAAAGCTAACTCATACTTTTTTTTAGATTTCACTAATATTAAGTGCATGAAAAATCTTTTGACGTTTATATTCTAATTCATCTATTACTAGGGTTATTCATTAGGGAATGCCGAAAATCTTGTGACATGTTAATGAAATTAATCACCACAATACTAACGATTTGAATGATATTAATTCACGATTTTTTCATATTCAAACGCATGAATGAAAAAATCTTTTTTAATGAAAATCAAAAATTTTTCTTATAAAAAGATAACAGCTTCAATCTTTTGACATAAAATAAAAAAATATATTTTTTTAATATTACACAAAAAAAAATAAGAAATCATGAAACAAAATTTGACTTTTGCGGTCATTTTATTGGCCATGCTTTCCATGATCAATGCCACCCCACTTCATAAAAGAAAAACTGTATTTCAGAATGGTACCGCTATTCCAGGTACCTCCCCTCTCAATGTAGCAATAACGCCTGATCCTGTCCAATCAGGAAAGAACGTAACCTTTACCATTTCTGGAAGTTTTCATGACTCTCCGCTCAAGTCAGATCCCGTGACAGAAGTTGCATTTGCTTATGCTACTTCATCTAATCCATGTAATGTGCCCACAACCAGTCAGCGTGTTTGTAGTGACAGAAGTGACAGTAGTGACACAATCAAGTGTCCAGTTACCGATTATAATACAACTATAATAGTTCAGGTACCAGCCGATTTACCCACTGACGACTATCTCATTACAGTCATGATTACTGATGACAATTATGATGTGCTTGCTGTTGCATCTGCTGATGTTAACTATGTAACCCAATGCCCGATTTGATAAATTAATCCTTTTAATGGGTCACATTTTTTTGTTAAACTAATAACGATTACAAAACAATAAAGTAAATTAATTGACATTAAACTTTAATTAACTGCGGTTGCACTTGTTAATCCAAAGTATAACAAATATTATTTGCGCGAGAGTTGGGTAATGTTTTTGCAACTCAAACTGTATACATATTAAAAATCACGAACCAATGTGGGAAACCCTTACCTGCGTACAGTAGACAAAGCAAAGTCGTTTTCCGTTTGTCTAAAATATCTATACGATACATTATCTCAACATTAACTCCGATAAAATAAAAATGATCGTCAGCTATACAAAGACGAGAAATATGTCAATATGTAATTTTTTACCGATTCACATAGAATATTGCTGAAGTACAGTATTTACATTTTATAATGGAATTACATGTCTGTGTTATAATATGGTTAGGTTATTTCGGCTGATCGTTAACTTGTTAACGGTCTTTTGCCAAGAAAAATTTTTTATTAATAAATACAAATGTTCGGGACAATGCCCATGATACATGACTTATAGTCTTCAATGAGTGAAATTCGATATTCAGTACAGTAGATAGCCTCGGTGCTATGCAGAATGAAATACCAATCCATGGCTATTTTCACAAAATTTAATTAGCATTGCAAAAATAAAAAAACAACATTTCATACTCTTAGTAGCTTCACACTAAAAACGATTTCTCGCGATACCATAGACATATTCATACTCCTCGAATGCTTCGTCGGCCTTACGCTTTTTCTTGAGCGTATCCAAGTTCATCTATGTTTACAGATGACGATTAGTTAGTAAATTCTGATAGAAGGATAGTCGAAACATAAAAAAAGTATTACTTACTTCACACGAACTTTGATATTATATTAGATTTTGTATTACGCCTTTCTCCGGCTGGTTTTGTTTCCTTTCAGTTATGCAAATTATTTCTTCGAGCAAGCCCTCCAAGATTTTTTTGATTGCATAATCGACACGACTGGAACTATCACTACCGGAGACATTCATTTGAGGCAAAATGCAAGGAGGCTGACAGCAGTATGTAAGATTCATTTTCAATAGACTTAGTACGAAAGTTACGAAAGTGAAAAAAATATAACTATGAACTTTTTTCACTAAAAAATTATATATACAGTGGCGCTCAAAAGTATTGCATCACCTGAATACAAATTTTAAAATGGCATTTTCTTGTGATTAAGACGGCGCAGTGTCATATAAATTATTTATTAGACTTATTATAACCAAGTCTATTCAATATATGAAAATCGGTTTATAGTAATGAGATAAATTTTAAAAAATATTTATTTTTGAACAATTAGGCGATCCTTTTCTTTTGATAGTTTTTTTATTAAATTTTTTAAGTATATAAAAAAAAATAAAAATCTAACCAACTTATTAAAAACTTTGGTAAATAATTATTTACCATTTTGTATAGCCACCATTAGCTCTAATTACATCATTTATATGAGTTGGCATAGTATCAACCAACTTTTTGCATACATCGGACCCCAACTCAACCCAAATTTTTTGAATTGCATCCAATTATTGATCCTGTGTTCTAACAGGTATTCCAAGCCGCCTCAAACAACGATCCATTTCATTCCAAAGGTGTTCTATGGGATTTAAGTCAGGGGATTGTGCTGGCCAATCAAGAACTTTAACCCCATTATCTTTAAACTATTGCTTTGTAAGATGTGCAGTGTGTTTAGGATCATTATCCTGTTGAAAAATAATATTTTCTTTATCCATTCCATGCTACGCGATAGTTCCCAATAGGTCTTCCTTTAAAATTTGTCGATATAAATCACCATTTATATGTCCATAAATTCGGTATATGTTACTAATCCCATCAGATGTAAAACATCCTACACCATAATATTACCCATCCAAATTTAACCGTTAGTTTAACATAATGATCATGTAATGGTTCTCCTGGCTTTCTGATCCATAAATCATAAATTTTGACTCATCTGACCAAACCGCTTTACTCCAATCTTCAACTGTCCATAACTTGTATTTTTTTGCAAATTTCATCCTTACGATTCTATGTGTTTTTTGAAGATATAGTTTTTTGCACTTAACCTTTGCACTCATTCCATTTCTATGTAAGGTTTTCTTTACTGTACATTCACTAACTTCAATTTGTTCTTCTATTTTAATTTTTTTTGAATTGCAACAACATTGCTACATTTACCTGTTGTAATTAATCTCAAAACTTTTCGTTCATATCGACCAGTTAAAAGTTGCGGATGCCTAGATTTAGGTTTGTTTTTATTGTTACTAGTTTTATCTTTATGTTGCTTGGTTCTTATAACAGTTGATTGAGAAACATTTTCCTTATCTGCTATATAGCAGGAGGGAAAACCTTCATCAAATAAGGCACAAATCCTAGTTCTTTTTTCAACAGTAAGATAAACCATAGATATTTTATAAAATTACAAAGTGGCGAAAAATACCATAAGGCATCTTTTTTATATGTATCGCATAGTTGTTTTTAAGTAAAAAAAATCGCTTAATTAGTGTTGATATTTATCTCTTAAATTGATCAAAAGAAATGCATTGCCACTTTGGCGAAAGATTCATAACAAAAAAAATATTCTTAAAAAAAAAAGATGAAAGAGATTGATAAAGATTAAGATATAACGAACTTTATATTTAAGTTTTGTAACACTGTGCCTTTTAAATTACAAGATATTTCCATTTTAAATTTTGTATTCAGGGATGCAATACTTTTAATCGCCACTATATATATATACATATACCTTTTCTTGATTAACTTAAAATAAATTGTTACTACATCTTGAAGAAAATTATATTTTCATCATGTAACGATTGCAACATCCATTCTTACCGTTATCTTTTGCTTAATTGGTATCACACCTTTTGTACAGGAACTAAAGGTAATATTTTTTAATTATATATCAACTTGATTCTTTATTATAACAATTTAATTTATTTGCTTGATATATAATAGCATTTGAGATTCTAATCTTGCTACTCTTTGGAAATAGTAAGAAAGTCTTAAATTTAATGATTAAATTTATGAAAATTGAATATTAATTGATAATTTTTTTTTACAGAATATGATGTTTGTAGTGTTTTGATAAAAGATTTGAATCATAATTTCATAATTTTATAACCTATAAACCTCAAGGTCCTGATGATTATGATAAATTCTATTGTGAAGATCATATGTCCCAATATGGTGATTTAGGAGTAACTTGTAAAAATAAAGTTATAGCTTTGCAAACTTTAGATAGTACTACAACATATACAATTTATTTTGTATTTAACAAGATATATTATATTGAAGTAGATTATATAAGTAATATACAGTGAACTCTTGATATAACGAATTCTAGGATCAGGATATCAACTTTGTTATAAGCTTATAACGAATTTTTAAAGAATTTAATTGACTAGTTCACTATAGTAAGATAATTTTAATATTTGATTTAATAATTCATTATATCAAGAGTTCGCTATATCAAGGTTTGACTGTATACAGTCAACTCTTTCTACAACGAATTTTGATATAACAAATTTTACAATACAACAGATTTTCAGTGTCAGACAGATTTTTAAATATAAAAAAACCCTTACTATACCGAATTTAGT